TTAAACTTGACATGTCATACATCTCTCATAGTAGGAGTAGCAGCGTCACATAATCTAACAACAATTGCCTGAAAATAGTGCAAGAATGGTCAATAGGGCTAAATATGGATCAAAACTAACATAACTCTCCCTCAATTTAATATAATTACCTTCGGTGATTTGATAGATTTTCCAGATTTTATAAAACTAGATTTACAGGCATTGCAAACACGGTCATCTGTACGTTCACTTTACAACTTTTACTATTACTACTATTACTCCGACTATCCTCTACTATGATGATGATGGTCCCACCTCTTACCTCTACAAAGGTTTGAGCTGGACGATTTATCTTTAAGATAATTAAATATGACATTTTAACCAGGTTAGCAAACAAAATCGAACTGGTTACAGTTACAGATATAAATTCCCTCTAGAGTTTACAATTGCTTCACAACGATATAAATGTGAAAAAGCTCAGGCGTCTACCTCTTAGCTCGCCTTCTTGTCCACCTAAAATATTCATAAGTATTACAAACGATCAAGAACAAAGCATCCTATTACACTATCAACCCCGCAATCTGATGCTATCATAATTTTCAGCAATGCCAGGAATGCTGACGAACCCCCAACATTTGCCAGAAAACTTACTATTAACTCAAGGTATCTTCCAAATAAGCTTCAAAATTGCATTTTTTTTATCAAATGTTAAATTCAGTCTACTATATCCGTAATACGCGTGCGAGGCTCAAACCTTTGTAGACTACTCAAAAAAGAAATTACTACTACTATTAAATCAAATATCAAAAATCCATCATCACCATCGTGGCGAACAAAATAGTTTTTGCAGTGCTACAATAATTATTAAAAAGTCATTTTTTTCCTAAATTTGTTTTCCGTCGATCTTGTTTTCCAAGCTGAGCACCAATGCTACCGACGCCAGGGAGGCAGCTCTCTCACCTGGACCCTACCTATCGACCCATCAACTCATGAACCGGGGACCAACGGCTTACTTCCCTTCCGAAGGAAGGCGTGATCAAAGATGTTATGCCTCAGAACATCCCGGCGGCGCCGACTGGGATTGAACCCAGGCTTGCTGGGGTGAGAGGCAATCACGCTTACCACTACATCACCGGCGCCGCTAAAAGTCATTATGACAGCTATACATACAAAATACATAATGTGTCAATTCAAAAAAAACTGGATAACTGTTCAAAAGACAGTTTTAATGTGTGAATAGCAGTGTCTTTTAAATTCTGTAAGTGTTGCTGAACGTTTGATATGTCTAGGCATCGAATTGAAAACATTTATTCCTTTAAAATACAATGAATTTTGTGAAGCACAAGTCAAGAAATGTGGTGTTCTTATTTCAACCGCGTTTCTAGTATTATATCTATGAAAGTCACTTCCTCTTTCAATTCGATCACACAAATATAGAGGCAGCAAACCGTTAACTACTTTAAAAATGAACACCATAGTCAAATATACAATTCTTTGCTTCACCGACAACCATTGTAAGGCGTCTAGCATCAAAGTTGAGGAAGTGAATCTATTAGATCTCAAAATCAAACGTGTTATCTTACTCTGCAAGCGCTGTAATCTTGATATTTGTTTTTCATTGGCCAGAAATAAAATTGAAGGACAAAAGTCTAGATGAGGAGAGATGATTGATTTGTATAGCTTCTAGAAAAACATCCTTGTACGCTGGAGTCCATTACAAGAACTCGACAGTGAGCATGCATAAGGGCGTAAACGCGATGATCGATTCTCTTCATCGATTTTCTCTTTACATTGCTACAGCTAAGCGAAACAATTTTCTGGAATTTATTTGAGAATCGATCATACATGCTCACTGTCAAACTGCCATTAAATTTGTTGTTTGAAACATTTGCAGAGGATGTAATAAATCCAATCTTACATTGGATGTAAGAGACATTTATTTTGCGTGTTGAAACCATGTGAATTTCTCCCAGAGCTTTGAATTTTTTTGTTTTCTTCAATCTGTTGGATTTTTAAAACGAATCCTGCTAGTCCTAGAGTCTAAAATCATAAAAAATAAAAGATATTCTTGGATAGCTCAGACACGAGCATTCCAAGCGCTTGATTTTATCACACGTGTTTCGACGACGCTTCAAAAAAAAAAAAATCAATCCAAGCCTCACCGATCACGGATCGAATCGCATATGCGTTCCGCACACCATGTGTCGCTCAACATTGTTTAAAAATACTATCCTATTGCGGGAAATGCATGATGCATCCACCACAGAGCTCGGGCGGGAAGCATCAGCGTCGGACTGTAGACTCTTGTCCCACATTTCGTTCATTCTTTGCGTGTCATCGCGTTGAAGAACCAACGGAAGCGGTTCTCCCGTCCGTACCCAACTGATATGCACGTTCGGGTCTTTGGCTATTATTGGAAGATCCGTTCTATTCTAGTGCCTCCCGTTTTCGTCGCTGTTGTTGTTAGGGGACGATTGCAGCAATAGATTTGTAGCCATATCGCATCGTCGTCGTGCTACGGATCACGCCATGCTCGTTGGGCTACTTTTTCTGCATGGTTGAACTATTTATGTTCGATTACTATGCTTGTTTTTTTTTTCACGAATCCTCTCCTGTCGGTTCGGACGGTGTGTGTGATATGCGGTAAGCTTTTATGCATTCATTATCCAATTTATTTTTCACGCCGCAATCAATCAAAAACCCGCGGCTATATAGTTATGCTCGAACGATGATGATGGTAAGTTGCTGCAGTGGTGCTGCTTATTGGGTCGTGATTTATGGAACCAAGGGTGCAACTCCCGCAAATTGGATCCTTATCCTACGGTTAAATATAGGTATGTACGTAGCAATCCGTTTGAGTTCGGATTCGTTGGAGTCTGACATTAATCGAGTTGGACGCGGTGCGGTTGTCAGGATGACTTGTGACTTCATTCTGGAAAGTCCTCTTGTTCGCTGCGTGTCAGTTTCAGACAGCGCTGCTGTGGTGTCCGGGACTTCACTCCTACTCTATTCATGTCAAAAGGTGACGTTTTATCAAGTGAGCCTACGTCTTCGGGAAGAGGAATTATTTTGATCGATTTTCCGAGGAAATTGTCATACCTAAACTCTTCAGAGCAAATCGATCAACAGCCAGTCAATCGTCACTGGTCGGAAGTATGGTTATATATGTATTTTTTCCGCGCACTACTCACCTGAATGTCGACATTTTCCGCGTTCGTTGCATCGACTTGATATATACCAATGAAGGAAGCCAATAGTAACGATAACAACAACGTGCTGCATATTGCATCAAATGTTGATTATGGGCAGCCGTCGGTCGGGGGAAAACACATAAATGAATGCAGCTAAATTTCAACTTTTGATTGAAGCTCCGGTTTCGAAGCGGGCTCCCCTCCGTCAAATTTGAAACTTGCAAAAAGTGAAAAATAATGTCCGTCATGGTGGCCGATGTGCCTGTGTAATCAGAAATGCATTATACGTGGTGGTATCGGCATTATCGGGAGAAAGTGTTTCAGCATAATGCACAGTTATCCAGAATGCGAACTAGGGAAGACAAAATGCATAACAATACTGAGATTGTTTAAATTTAGGAGAATTAATAAGAAATTCTTTACCATTTCTATGAAGCTAATAGACAAAATCTCTGCATTGATTGGAATTGTTACTGATGAAAACAAAATTAATTCCGTGGAATTAAATGGAAAAGGCTAGTACCAAGCATCATTGCTATCATTTCTATAGAACTTTACCCACTATGCTCTCAAGTTCAAGTCCCTCAACCGGTACGTACGAGTTGGGTTCAATTATTATTGCTATTATTTTTAAGACGTTACAATTTCATCGGCTTCCGTTTCCGTTCTCACTTTCACCTTGCACCATGCTATATATTCACTCCGGTAAAGATTTATGTAGTTTTACGGTGTAATTCAATATATATGCACATTCTTCCTTCTTCTGCCGAGTTGTATTAATGTTTCCTAGCGTGCTGAGGAAGGATATGAAAATCACGCTCAAATTTTCAGTTCGCTTCCTGCGGGATTGAGTAGTGCCCAGGAGAAGGTTGCGAACTGGATACATTGGCACCTGCTGGTTGTGGCAAAACTAGTCACTGTTTGCAGGTGAAGCATTTCGGATCTTGCGGCAACTACGACCGGTCGAGAAGTGAATAAGTAATTTGATACAACGCGGAAAATATCTCACTGATTCACCTTTCCAAGCTCCAAGCTCCTACATTGTTAACGTGACATCTGAGCGATCTAATTTGACGTTCGATAATCTACTCTGTTCCTATGCTTGCTACCGGTGAGCAAACAGTGTGGGAGTTCAATTGAAAGTGAAACATTTCTGATGATAGCAACAACGAAGCACAACGGTTGAAGGCATTGATTAAAACCGAAACATGCGAAGCATGAATTGTTTATTTGTATTGCGCTGAGCTGCAAGCAACAGCGTGCTAAAGTGATTTTCCAAATTTAACATCGGCTTGCATGTTTCTACGTCGCTTCTGCTGTAGTGTTCTTACTAATTGATTTCAAGCAACAACACCGGTACTTGGATTCATGCCTCATCGGTTCAAAAAAGTTAACGGACATAATGCATATTGAACAGGTCACAGCTCGGTGCCACCATTATCACTCAATTATGGAAACTGCCATCAACCGGAAACGATTAGTGCGATAAAAGAAAGAGAAAATAGTGTTTGATGTGCTTCACAACATTTGCAATTGATTATGGCGGCGAGCATAATATTCCGCCGCTTGTGAAACCTTTTATTGAACCCCTATCGCGTTCGAAATCCGTTAATCGCTAATAAATAACATTCTCGCTTGCTAACTCTAAAACCACTGCCACTGATATTCTTCGTCGTTTAGTCCGGTTGATTGATATTCCGTGGCAACGACATTTGGCTGGTGTGTGCCGAGTCGATGCGTCATCAAGACCAAAATAAAGCAAACTACTTCTTAAGTAATTCGATACTGATGTTTAACCAAGCGTTTTTTTTTATTTGCTTCATTTTTCAGGATACCCATAGAATCGTAAATAGCAGAATGACGCATAGTAATTGCTGGACTGCTTGAACTCAAACAACTCCTGCTGTGTGGGTAAGTGTGATTTTTATGTTGGCATAAATTATCACAATTGGTGTGTTCTTTTTGATACTGATTAATCAGAGTACGTTGACCGGTTTTGAGAGCCCGTTGGCTCCAATCATCGTTGACTCCAATGCATTCTAAGAACATACCTAGGATCCACGTACATTTTGGTTCGGTATCAAACTCCAATCACAGGCAAATAGACATCAACTTTGAGCACTGAAATTGTAAAGTATCGTCTGGCTTCTAATTTGCATTCCTGAAATGGTCAACTTTCATTATAATTCTAATTTTCTGTTGTAATTTTATTCATGGGTCATGAAAATATGGACAATAATCGACAAAAACACATTCATAAACATATTAGAATCGAACAATACATACACGCAAACCAAAAATCTATTACAATGAATGTTAGTTCCAGTTCCTATCATCCTCTGTTCATGAACATCGCAACGAATGTTAGGAATTGACCATGCAGGCGATGTAATGGTTTTTTGTCTTTTTTTTATTTCGTGTTCCATCTACGCTTTCGACTATACCAGTAAGCTTGTAGAACGACGTACATTGTAGAACATTGTAGAACGACGCACACACTTGTCTCGAATCTCTCCAGCAGAAAAAGCATACGAAGTCGAGCATGCGAGAAAATGAGCGCTTCATGTTTGCTTTTAGGCTGCGCATTATTCGGAAGCATGGAGAGAGCAGTGGAGAAAGCACAGGTCTGATAGTCGCAACGTCCGTGGTTCGAGTCCAGTCGGCAACCTTTTTCTATTTTTTTCGACATAATTAATTTCACTCACTAATACACTCCACATTTTTCGGTCTCCAATTTTCTTACATCGGACCGCAGCTAGGTATATCGCATCCTCGGTTCATGCGGTCTCCACTTACATCCTCTGATGATGAATCCCACATAATTGTAAGCGAATCTTACATCCACCGGTTGGGTGTATTGACAGTTTCGGCCTCCCCTTTTGGAGCCCTTTTTATGTGGATTCCAACAACACAGAAGATTCATACCTTAGGTAAAGTTATTCACAGGACTTATAGGGGAAATGTATCTAATGTTGGCCTATGGATCTAAGATTGGGCCCATCGCTAAAAATCTGCTATTTATCAATTTTATCTAGATTCACGCGTCATTGGGACAGTACTAACGGATATTTTTGGTCGCTATTGAAATTTTAGTCGATTGCTGAATTTATGAATGGGCCCAAATTAGGGGCATTTAGGCCGAAATTACATCCATTTCCACTTTATACAAAGTTGTCGTCTTTGGCAAAGTTGTTCAGTTGAGCAAGACCGTCATTAGTTTTGTTCAGAACTGTGAAAACTGTTCTACAATGATTTAAGTATTATTCGTGTCCGTTTCCACTGTGCGGGCGCTGATGGGCTCCATCAAGAGGAAGGTTCGAGATTTCGTTCGAACTGGAGAAATGTAACCATCTAATGCTGTAGCTTTGAAGTTTTAATAAAAGTACTGTAAAGCAACCATTAATGGACTTTTAAACTTATTGAATCATGAATTACAAGTCATTTTGTGCGTACCGATTTACTTTTAGTCAGCCTTTAGTTGGGTAACTTAAAATAAAAGCAGATCAATTTGTTACTAATTTTTTAAACCATCCGGCTTTGCAATCCCTGAATGAAATATGTTTTAATCAAATTGAACCTTAATTCTCACGAGTTGTTCCTGAATTGTTTGAGGTTATCCACTTTTCAGAAGCTTCGTAGCTCTAATATTATTATATAACTTTTACTATTTTAGAGATCAACCCCGGATTTGCCATTCCTGAATGAAACATTTTTTAAATCATATGCCATACCATCTTGAATCAACCATTTTGTAAACAATCTACCATCTTGGAATTAAAATTTTGAGAGCATGAACATGAGCATTGACGACCTTACATGTCAGTAGTTGCTACTCCGTGATTGACCAGATTTAGCGAAATTTGCGCAAAGAACCATATCAATGAGTGAACGATCCGGTGAATCCTTATTTTTGAGGTCAATCGCGGCGCCGGCCACGTTCTTACGGTCATCGTTGAGGGAAAGGATTATCATTTCGACACCTCTGTATCTCCCGGGGTTGTCCCGGGAAGGATGTTTTTGTTAGTGGAAAGGGTGAATTAGATCTGGATTCACATTGGAAAGTGATGCGATCTTCTAAAGCCTGGTAAGCAAATGACGCGACCCTAACAACTCAGTAATTTAAAGGGGCTTGGGTTGTAGACCTACGATCTTCTGCTCAGTAAGCAAAAACGGTTGCTTTAAGGCCACCGTGCCCCTTACATCACAACAAGCTACGACCGACGATCGTTCATTATCGGTTACAAAAAGCTATTAAAATGAAATGATATCCCCGAAAGCAGTTAACAATGTCTTCCGAACCGGATCAAGCGTACGTCACTTTTGTAAAAACGTATGTATTACTTTTGCGAATCGTTCCGCCGAGTTCTATTATTCACGATACACCCTTTCCAAAATTTCAAAATCAACATACGCATCTAATCGCAACAACCGACCTACACACGACGCGCGAAAATCAAGATCAGTGATAAACCAGCTTGGAATTAAAATTTTCATTGCAATTACAAAAATATTACATCCTGAAAGATTGGCCATTTTATATAAGACCCATATTCACCATTTGTAAAATCATCCACCATCATGAATCCACCATTTTGAGAGTTAATCACCATATTGGAATTAAAACTGTCATTGCAATAGCAGATTATCATCACTATACAACAAAATTGCATTGGCCATTTTATCAAAGACCCACCATCTTGGATCCTCCATTTTAAAAATAATCTGTCATTTTGGAATGGATTGTCTTTGCATTTACAATAATAATGCATTGAGAAAGATCGATCATTTTATAAAAGACCCATCATTTTGTATTCATTATTTTGAAAAACAGCCACCATCTGGAATCCACCTGTATTAAAATCAATCACCATCATGGAATTGAAATTGTCATTGCGATAGCAGAACATCATCACTATACAACAAAATTGCATTGACGATTTTATAAAGACGCATAATTTTGTATTCACCTTTTTGAATATCATCCACCAGTTTGAATGTCAATCACCATCTTGGAATTAAAATTTTCATTGTAATTGCAAAAACATTTCTTCTGCTATCTTGAATCATCCATTTTGAAAATAATCTGCCATCTTGGAAGTGATTTTCATTGAAATCAGAACAATCTTGCATTCCTAAAGATCGACCATTCTATAAAAGACCGACCATCTTCAATGCACCATTTTGAATATCATCCACTAGCTTGAATCCTCCAGTTTGAAAATTAATCACCACCATGGCATTAAAATTGGCAGTATCGCAACTTTACAACAAAACTGCATTGACCTTTCAATAAAAGACCGGCCATCTTAAAAATCATCCATCAGCTTGAATCCACCATTTTGAAAATCAATTCATCACTATACAACAAAATTACATAGACCTTTTTTTCAAAGACCCGCCATATTGAATTCACCATTTTAAAAATCATCCACCTTCTTGAATCCACTGTTTCGGAAATCAAATACCATATTGGAATTCAAATATAAATGGTCATTGCAATTGGAATAACATTTCTTTCAAAAAAATCGAACATTTTATTAACGTTCTACCTCTTGAATCCAATATTTTGAAAATCTACTGTCATTTTGAATTATCCATTTTGAAAATAATCTGCTTTCTTGGAATTGATCTTTTCCTTCGCGTATTACTGATCGCATATTAGCTTATTGCGTGCACTCAACTTAAAGCTCGATTCAAAGTAAATCTGGACGCACGGTTTAATACACCACCGCGCTCCTGGTGGTTGGAACAAAAAACGTTTGACATCCCGAAATTACGGATCATGGAACTTGAGAAAAGAAAATTAATTGTGCACAAACATCTAGAAAACCCTTAAAAATAGCAAAAGTGTTAAAATTCCCAAAGTCAACGGTGAGTCTTGTAATCAAACGTTACAAGGATACTCTGAGTGGGGATAGAGAACAGCGCATCAATCATAAAAGTGGCACTAGGGACAAAGAGCTGAGGAGAAAGGTGTTGAGGTACGTGAAAAGCAACCCAGGTGTCTCCATACGTGATTTGGCAGTCTTTTTGTGCCAGTAAACATCCGAATCGCTCCCTGCAACAAAATTTAGTGGCTAAAAAGCGAGCACGATTACCATACGAACGAGTTTTGACGAAATTTGAAGGTGGTATTTTAATGGATGACGAAACATATGTCAAAATGGATTATAAACAAATCCCCGGACGAAAATTTTACCTGAAAACTGGTCGTCCATTCCAGATATAAATTGGTTTTTGCTGATAATTTTGCTCGGAAACTAATGATTTGGCAAGGAATCTGAAATTGTGGCCTTAAAACCAAGGTTTTCATCACATCTCACACAATGACGTCGAAGGTTTACATTAAAGAGTGTCTGAAAATATGGATTTTACCCTTCATTCGGCAACACAAGACCAACGTTATGTTTTGGCCGGATCTAGCCAGCTGCCACTACTCTAAGGTATGCTGCAAAAAATGTTAATTTCGTCGCCAAAGAGATTAATCCTCCGAATTGCCCTGAGTTCAGACCGATCGAAAAAGATTGGGCAATTGTCAAGCGAAAACTTCGAGGATGCGGTAAAGAAGTGACAAATGCACAACAAATGCGTTTAAACTGGAATAAGTTCGCCGGTACAGTGTCACCAGCGACTGTGCAGATCATGATGGCATCGATCACAAGTAAAGTGCGACAGTTCGTTCAAAACGGTGAAATGTAATAACTTGTTATTATTTGAAAGCTAAATAAATACCCTTTTGTTTGACGTTTTGATCAACCGTGACTAAGACTAGAAGGTCCCGAAGAAACGTGCTCAACTTTTTAGCTCAGCTCTGGTACTCTCTTCGGTTCCAAGCTAATCTATGCACCCCTCGAAACATAGGAAAATCCACGAGCCCCTCATTTTATCTGTCAAATTTTCATAGAGAATCA